GCAAGATAAGCATTGCGTTCTGTTTTTAATTTATTTTACAAATATTTATTTTATATTTATTTATTTTACAAAATACATAGAGACAGCATGAATATAGCAGTAGAACCTTTATACGGCCCACATATTTATATATTTATTTCTTTTTTTTATTATTATTCCAATATTTTATAAGTAAACAGAAACATCAAAAGTAAATAATAACAGGTCATACTGATCAGTCAATCAAGAAAATAAAGCAGTGGCTTTTAAAACGTATATAAGTTCAGCCTACTACACAAAAAACTGTATCAAAAGCAAAAATACAATCAACCAAAAACTATCGTTATTTTTAAAAGTTATCATGAAAAAATGAGCGTTGCTATTTCGAGATAAAGAAATAATTAATTTGTGATCCTAAGACATTACACGAATAATTGCAAGCAAGGCTGTTCTCAGAGATACTACTCTGTCCTTGGAGTCACGTCCTCTGTGTCACGTCTGACCCTTAGAACTGGAACCACCGAGAATATAATCCTTAATCTCAGTCTCTTGTTACAACTTCTGGCTGGCCTGGAAAGACAAACAAGCAAACATTGGCTGTTACTGCTAAAATATCTGGTCTCCTCTAACTAATCACATCACGCTAAATACTTCACTTAAATGAATAAAGATGATGTACCTTAGAGGTGAAGATGAAGGCAGTGATGAGTAGCATCATACCCAGCAGGATGACAACAAGTCTGACGATCAACGCAGTCAGAGAAACTGAAACAGATTTAAAATCACATAATTTTTATTAAAGTTAAAGCTAAACAATCCATATTTATCAAGCTTATATCAAAATTGTAAAACTGATGGACAACACTAAAATAACTGTCAGGAGCTGAATGGAAATTTTAGTTGAATAAGGGATTGTTCTTTACTTGTCAGAGGAGGTGGAGGGATGGGGCATGACCCTACTCGAAGCTGCAAATATATTTCCTTGAGCCTCCCTGAGTGGCTGGTGGAAAAATGCATGACCCTCCCTCCACCATAAAGGGACTAAATAAAGCATTGTAAACTATAGAGCCTTTTACTGTTAGGAAACAGTATGACGTTTTTTGGTGGGCGGGGCTTGGCTGGAGGCAAAACAATTCTCCATGGACATTAGCTAGCTCTAGCTAGCAAGTTTTGTTGTCTTGTTTTAGACAATGGAGGAAGATGATGTGAGTGGTGCATTCGGAAATATCCATTCCGAGTGCCGGAGCGCACTCTGGCACAAACTGGATCATTTGTAAATTGAATGACCTGTTCGGTTATCCAGAGCACCGCACTGTCGCAATGGCAGAGCACACTCTAGGCATTCTGTCTGGGGTGATGGAGCAGCAGAGTGTTGAGCGGAGTGAATGTGTGATTAATTTAACCCTTAATTAACTAATGTAGAAATAGAACGCTCCATTTCTTCGACCAACAGGGATCTCGTTTTAGTGTAGTGTCACACTGAATTTACAAATGCACCATGTCAGGTCACTCACTCTCTTAATACCTCCCCAGTTTCTGATGAGGTGGACATGATAACCCACACCACACATAACGTTATTCATCCCTACAACAGGAAATACTTTTCCCTAACCTGATATGAAGTGTGCTACACATGCGACCATTTTTGATGATGGCCTCCGCCCAGTCCTTTCATCTTGACCCGTTTAACCATAGTTGTCTCAGTCTTGTTGATAAAATTTAAGTTTGGAGCCATGACTCCTTCTATTCTGGCTCCCAATAACACAACAAGACGACACTTTAAGACTCCTATGTAGCCTACAGCCCTGTGGGGGCCAGTTGTGTTTTGCCTCCAGTGAATAAAATGACATCATAGTGTTGTTGGCCCTTAAAAGGTCTATTACTGGTACATGTAGAAGAATACATATACAGTATAGGCACACAATCAGGTGCACAAGTCTTTAAGTCTACAGGAATGTAGGTCCAACAAACCCTGGACTTTCATCCAGGAGCCCGGTGTTCGCTTTCCATATGAATGTAGAGCCAAACAACCTCCTAACCTAATCTCGTGTTTTTGTTGCACTGCGTTAATTGACACACTGTCCCAGGACGTCAACAGCAGGAGGAGCTGGAGGATGATCAACATCAACATGTTGACACTGATGGCACTGAACAAACGGCAATATGGAGAACGGCAGTAGCTCAGTCCATTGGGACTTGGCTTGGGAACCGGAAGGTCGCCAATTCAAGTCCCCATATAGACCAAGTATGGAGCTGGAGAGGTGCCAGTTTGCCTCCTGGGCACTGTTGAGGTGCCCTTGAGCAAGGCAATGAACCCCCAACTGCTCGAGGTGCCTATCCAAAGCAGCCTCCTCACTCTGACATCTCTCCATTTAATGCATGTATAGGTCCTGTTTGTGCCTGTGTGTGTAATTCCAGTCTGTGTGTGTATGACAACAGAGTGAAAAATGATAAATAATAAAAATGCATTTCCCCTCTGGATTAATAACGTATATCTCCTTCTTTGATATGTGATGAGTTGGGATGAGAACAGGTTGGTACCAATTATGCTGATAGCTATTTTATCTATCTTATTTAAAAAAAAAAAAAGGTAAGTTAGTGGACTTTAGATTTGAGATGACTTTGTCATACATATCTGCTTGCATGTTAAAACAGTCAGTGTCACATTTCTGTGTTAGATTCTCTGTGAGGTTACCTGCCAGAGTGACATGGAGTGGCTGGCTCTCAGAGGAGAAGTTATGGTAGAAAACATAATTGTGATAAACACAGCGATACTCCCCTCGGTGGGTGTGGTCTGCAGCAGAGAACAGGAAATGGGCAGAGTGATTGACAGCTGGCAAGGTGTAGTTCTGAGCTCTGTTGGAGGAGGTGGAGATAAGCTGGAAGTAGCCTCCTGGGAACTGTGGTTCAACAGAGCACCTGAGGGTGAAGTTGGAGCCCATGAGCACCTGGACCCCCTGCTGCTTGGCATCAGAGACCCTGTCAGGGGAGGGACAGGAGGAGATGTTTGGTTCCGCCAGCACATCTGTAAACAAAAAGTGATTAGCTAAACTCAACCAAATCATGAAAACAGAGCCCAAGGAAGTAAAATCCCAGTGATTGGTTGCATTAAAAGCCTGTGGATAAACAACAGGTTGCTAGAAAACATCCACACTCACACTGTGTCTAAAAAGCTGCTGGAAACACAGCGATGGGTCAGTATAAATCCCTAACGTTTGGTACATAAGAAATTGCTGGAAACACAGCAATGACTGTTTTGTGGTCTTGAACAGTGGTCCACAGTCTATCCTTGGTGTCCCACCATCCACCATCCCCTCCACCTACCAGTGGCAAAGTGACCTCATATACTATGTCACTTTAGAAACACTGATATGATTCATATGAAAAAAGCAAATGTAATGTATTCACGGTCTGTTTGGCAACAGGATAAGCAAAGGAATGTAATGTAACATCGTCTTTACCATACAGTAGGTGTCATTAATGGTGTTACCTGTGCAGATGATCTTCAGGCTGGCAGAACTGTATGAATTCCCTGTAGCTGTCGTACATTCCTTCAGTGTCGATCTCAACTCAACACAGGAGGAGTTGATCCACCACACAGATCTGACTAAATTTTCATTATACAACTCAAACGTTGAAAGATCAGAACCACAATCGAGCTGTCTACACACTGCAGCTCCAGCTGCAGACATAAGATCCCATCCATGATCAATTTTAGCCACAGATCTCCACTCTCTCTGGTTTTTCATCTCCAGTATTCCAGCACAGCGGCTGGCCTCTCCCACCAACCTGATATCACCTGGAGGATCTGAGCAAAGACATGAGAATAATTAGCAGAGGAAGTACGGCGGTATGGCGCATCACAGCTGCAGCTCCTCTTCTACCTGAGCAGGTGAGTCCAACAGCTTTGCCAGGTGAGCAGCTGTTCCTCTCTGAGCCTGAGCTTCTACAGTCCAGGAGAGCAGACTCATGGCCTCCACACTGGAACTCTTTGGTCCACATTGGAGCCTCCACCTCTCCATAGAGCGCCCCCTGGAGGAATGAAGGAGGCCCACAGCCAAGCTCCCTGCAGACCACCTCTGCATCCTGCTGGTCAAAGTCTGCTTCACACACTGGGGACCATGACTGGTTAGACTGGTCTGACTTCACCTCCAGTCTGCCTGAGCACAGACTGGTCCCATTCACCAGCCTGACAGAGTCTGGAGAGACAGAAACAGAGCAACTTTATTGATGCTGCACTACAAAAATGGGGGCTTTTTGTTGCTTTGGGGACATCACTCTGAAGGATTTGTGCCAATATAAAACACTTTGATACCTTGAGTTGAAATGGAGAGAGAGGCAGCACCCAGTTCAGTAGTTTGTCTTATTTTATTTAGCTTATTTTATCTTCTGTTTTATTTAGTTTTACTCTTTTTAAAATCTTTTTTTGTGTGACTTTTTCTAAGACCAAAACATTTATCTGGAAGACACTAATTGCTCAGTGGAGCTCAGGGGAACTCCAGAGTAGCTGATTGGTTCATCACCACCAACAGTACTTGCCATCTTTTGACAGGTTTAAGCATCACAGACTGGTAATGATCACCAGAAATCGAGCATAATCTCTATTTCGATTTATATGATTATCAACGAAAAACAAGGTACACACCATTCCAGTAGATTAGTTAGTGTTGCAAGGGTCCCTGCTGGCCCTAGATGTCAAAATGACATCAGAAAGATGTTGAACTCTCATGTTGCACAAACATTAAATTTTCGTTGCAATGACAATCGGATTGACAATATTATATTGTGTGGACAATAACATTATGGTGATTCGCAGATGTTGGGTTTTGTTCTTCACACCTTACGACTAAAAGTCATTAGTATTCTACATCAATTAATGTTACCATGAGATGTTGCCCAGACATTCAGTTTTGGTCCCCCAACATTGCAACCTAAATTCAACCAAATTTCATCATCAAAAGACGTTGATGTCAGCTGGGCTAAGGTGATTATTGAAACAGCAGTAGCAATAAACTGTATATTTCTCACTGTCAGGTGAAAGTCCTTTACAGTATTTTGAAGTAGTCATCTTCCAGTAACAGATCTAATTCTCTATCCTTTTACCAGTTTAAACTGGCAGATGTGTGACAGGCTGAGAAACTGTAAAGATTACGAGTAAATATTATTTATGGTGTTACCTGAGCAGGTTATCTCTTGGACGGTAAAAGAATATGAAAATTCTTTAAAACAA